TGTGTGTGCATTATGTGTTTGTGTGTGTGCATATGTGTGTGTGTGTGTGTGTGCATATGTGTGTGTGTGGTGTGTGCCATATGTGTGTGTGTGTCATAATGTGTGTGTGTGTTGTGTGCATATGTGTGTGTGTGTGTGCATATGTGTGGTGTGTGCATGTGTGTTGTGTGTGTGTGTGCATATGTGTGTGTGTGTGTGTGCATGTGTGTGTGTGTGTGTGCATGTGTGTGTGTGTGTGTGGTGGCAGTGTGTGGTTGTGTGTGATGTGTGAATGTGCATGTGTGTGTCCATGTGTGTGTGTGTGTGCATGTGCCATGTGTGTGTGGGCATGTGCATGTGTGGTGTGCATGTGGGTGTGTGTGTGTGCATGTGTGTTGTTTGTGTTGTGTGGTGTGTGTGTGTGTGTTGTGTGTGTGTGTGTGTGTGTGTGTTGTGGTGTTGTGTGTTGGTGTGTGTGTGTGTGTGTGTTGCATATGTGTGCGTGTGGTGTGTGTGGTGTGGTGTTGTTGTTGTGTGTGCATATGTTGGTGTGGTGTGTGCAATGTGTGTGTGTGTGCAATGTGGGTGTGGTGTGTGCATTATGTGTTGTGTGTGCATGTGTGTGTGTGTGTGCATGGTGTGTGTGAATATGTGTGTGTGTGATATGTGTGTGGTGTGAATATGTGTGTGTGCATGTGTGTGCGTGCGTGTGCGTGTGTGTGTGTGTGTGTGTGTGTTGTGTGTGTGTGTGTGTGTGTGTGTGTGTGGTGTGTGTGTGTGTGTGCCTGTATGCATGTGAGTGCATGTCTGTGTGCATGAATGTGTGTTCGTGTGTGCAAGTGTGCATGAATGTGTGTGTTCGTGTGTGCACGTGTGCAGAAATGTTGTGTTCGTGTGTGCACGTGTTGCATGGAATGTGTGTTCGTGTGTGTTCGTGTGTGCACTTGTTGCATGAATGTGTGTTTCGTGTGTGTTCGTGTGTGCACGTGTGCATGAATGTGTGTTCGTGTGTGCACGTGTGCATGAATGTGTGTTCGTGTGTGCACGTGTGCATGAATGTGTGTTCGTGTGTGCACGTGTGCATGAATGTGTTTCGTGTGTGCACGTTGCATGAATGTGTGTTCGTGTGTGCACGTGTGCATGAATGTGGTGTTCGTTGTGTGCACGTGTGCATGTGTGTTCGTGTGTGCACGTGTGATGAATGTTGCACGTGTGCATGAATGTGGTGTACGCGTGCATGAATGTGTGTTCGTGTGTGCACATGTGCATGTGTGTGTTGTGTGTTTGTTCCTTATATATAAATCTGAGTAAATATTTCTATTAACTGAAAAACAATGGAACTAGTTTCTTGCTATGAAATAGCTAAATAGTTGATTCGAACTCATGATACCAATGAATGATAGTCAAGAGACTGGAAGATCTTATACTAAGGTGTTAAGAATGAAACGTGAAAAACATGCACAGGTTTTTTAACTTTCTGAGCTATCCAGTGACAACTAAACAAAATGGAAAGCTTCCATTAAAGATGAAGGACTCTTGTCCATTCTACATTTGGGCAGATGAGCATGGTGGGGAGGAGGGGGGAGGCAATTTTAATATATACTATCTTCTTTTACTGTTGATTTTTTTTCATTAGCATTAAAACTTGTCTTTAGCTTATTTCAGTATTGTTTAGGAATGCATATCTTTGTTTGTCAAACCTATAAAGTAAACAAGCAGGTTTACATACCAAAATAAAACAAAAAATAAAAATACACACATCTGTTGTGCATTTACATATATCAGTATACTTCAACATTTAGGCAAAGGCATTCCTATAAATATCCAAATTACGAAAATAAAACAAAAGACAGGAAGTGCATAAAATTAAATTTTGTCATTTAAAGCAATGCACTGTCAATGAGAACACGAACTTCCCATGTTGATCGCCTCCCTGTCCCCATACTCTCTAAATCACCTCACACTGGTTGGTGAAGGTGATCACGACACTTGATGGTTCACTCACTTGTCCAGCCTGAAATATTACTAAATTGTAGAAGGCAATCTTGTTTCACGCTCATCTGCATGTTTATATAGAGACATTTCATATAAACATTCATGTATACAAACAAGCAAGCTCCCTTCATCTAATTTTTGGATAAAAAAGAAGTGACTCTTTTTGCCAAAACTGAAGAGACTTAATAGCATTAATAAGGAACTCAGAGGGATGGAATCAGTGAAAACCATTAAAGCAAACAAAGTATGCATGACATAGTAGTACCAGCAAACTGTACAAAATTAAAGTAAAAGTGGAGGAAAAGAATAGGGGAAAGGAAAGAAATGCAAAAACAGCAATTAACAAGAGCTGCAAGAGAGTGGTCTTAGAAAGACAAATTCAACTTACAGGATTCCCCGGCTTTGGCATATATATCGTCCAGAACCTGGGACAGCTCCTCGTCCACCACCTCCTCTCCAGTGAAGATCAGCTCCTCCTCATTCTTGTTCTGATGGATCGGATGTCGTTTGGGTTTCTTTTTCTTCGGTGACTGATTGAGCAGCTGCTCAATCAGGGGTGAAGGTGTGACATTCCTGCAGGAATGAAGAGGGGATCATTAAAAATAGAACTTGCATTACAAGATATGTATTATGCTTCACTTTATGATCATGCCAATTTACCTGCTAGATATACATTCTATTTGTACATGGTAAATTAAGAACTGAAGAAGCATAGAGAAGCAAATGAATGATGTGTCAATTTTTTTTTCCATTCTATAAAAAAAAGGGTAATATGAGAGAGGGAGAGAGGGAGAGGGAGAGAGAGAGAGAGAGAGAGAGAGAGAGAGAGAGAGAGAGAGAGAGAGAGAGAGAGAGAGAGAGAGAGAGAGAGAGAGAGAGAGAGAGAGAGAGAGAGAAGGGGGAAAAAGAGAGAGAGAAGAGAAAGAGAAAAAAAGAGAGAGAGAGAGAGAGAATGTGTGTCTGTGCGAGTGTGTATGTGTCTGTGCGAGTGAGTCTGTGTCTGTGTGAGTGCGTCTGTGTCTGTGTGAGTGTGTCTGTGTCTGTGTGAGTGTGAAGTGTGTGATGTGAGTGTGAGTGTGTGAGTGTGTCCTGGTGAGTGTGAGTGTGAGTGTGAGTGGGTCTGTGTGAGTGTGAGTGTGTCTGTGTGAGTGTGAGTGTGTCTGTGTGAGTGTGAGTGTGAGTGGTGTGAGTGTGAGTGTGAGTGTGAGTGTGTCGTGTGAGTCTGTGTGAGTATGAGTGTGTCTGTGTGAGTGTGAGTGTGAGTGTGAGTGTGTCTGTGTGAGTGTCTGTGTGAGTGTGAGTGTGTCTGTCTGTGTGAGTGTGAGTGTGTCTGTTGTGGAGTGTGAGTGGTGTGAGTTGTGTGTAAGTGTGTCTGTGTGAGTGGTGTCTGGTGTGAGTGTGAGTGTGAGTGTGAGTGTGAGTGTGTCTGTGAGTGGTGAGTGTGAGTGTGTGAGTTGTGTCTGTGTGAGTGTCTGTGTGAGTGGTGTGAGTGTGTCTGCGTCTGTGCGAGTGTGTGTCTGCGTCTGTGCGAGTGTGTGTCTGCGTCTGTGCGAGTGTGTGTCTGCGTCTGTGCGAGTGTGTGTCTGCGTCTGTGCGATGTGTGTCTGCCGTCTGTGCGATGTGTCTGTGCGAGTGTGTGTCTGCGTCTGTGCGAGTGTGTGTCTGCGTCTGTGCGAGTGTGTGTCTGCTCTGTGCGAGTGTGTGTCTGCGTCTGTGCGAGTGTGTGTCTGCGTCTGTGCGAGTGTGTGTCTGCGTCTGTGCGAGTGTGTGTCTGTCTGTGCGAGTGTGTCTGCGTCTGTGCGAGTGTGTCTGCGTCTGTGCGAGTGGTGTCTGCGTCTGTGCGAGTGTGTGTGCGTCTGCGTCTGCGTCTTGCGAGTGTGTGTCTGCGTCTGTGCGAGTGTTGTCTGCGTTGTGCGAGTGTTGTCTGCGTCTGTGCGAGTGTTGTCTGCGTCGTGGCGAGTGTTGCGTCTGTGCGAGTGTTGTCTGCGTCTGTGCGAGTGTTGTCTGTGCGTGCGTCTGTGCGGTGTTGTCTGCGTCTGTGCGAGTGTTGTGCGTCTGTGCGAGTGTGTCTGCGTCTGTGCGAGTGTGTCCGCATCTGTGCGAGTGTGCCTGCGATCGTGCGAGTGTGCCTGCGTCCGTGTGAGTGTGTCTGTGTCTGTGCGAGTGTGTCTGCGTCCGTGTGAGTGTGTCTGCGTCCGTGTGAGTGTGTCTGCGTCCGTGCGAGTGTGTCTGTGCCTGTGTGAGTGTGTCTGCGTCTGTGCAAGAGTTTGAGTAACTGAGTGAGTGAGTGATAAGATTGTTTTTCCTAGTTGAAAAAAGTCAGTTCCTAATTCCATTTTCCTTGATGAATACATTTACCTTTTCCAATCCAGAACCTGCATTTACCCAATATGGAACACATAATTCTTGTTATTGTAAAATAGTTATGCAATTGTCAGAGCATTCAGGCAAACAAGCAACCATGCAAATTGAGTGTTGTTTGATTAACGTGTCAGTGACACTGACAGTGAGTGACATACATGACATACATGCACAAGCAGAAAAAAATGCATACAAAGGCACAGAAGGAAAAAAAGACACACAGCCACACATACACTAAAACATATATATCTGAGGCTGGATAAGAAAAATTAGCATGGAGTAGTAAGTAAGAGTATATGGACCAAACTCAATTATGTTCTATTTTTCTAGCATCTGAAAAAAAAAAAAAAAAATTGGACAATCCCCCAAAATGGTTTTAGCATAATCCCCTTTACTACATTTCATCTCAGGAATTGAAAGACCTGCCACTCGGCTTAGTCTGGAGAATTCTGATTATCCACGTCTCTTTTAAGAAATAAAAACTATCTGATGCAATGCAATTACTGTAGATGTGTTTTTAAAATATCAACATCTGTAAATATAAGTCTTTTAAGTGTCAGCAGATTAGTATCTAAAAAGAGTTGATGAATCAAACTAAACCAGTTATAAACAAACTCCTTTTTAAATTATCACACCCACACCCACACACCCACACACAAATTATC